AGAAAAGGATCGTTTTGTCTGCACATGCAATGCAAGAAACAAAACATACTTATTTACATACAGAAAATATTTACGTATATGTATACAGTCCACTACTATGTCAAATGTATGATAAGTAAAGCAATCGAAATTCTCTGCGATCTTGTTGCCTTAGTACGAAGATTGCTGCTTATCATAACATAAATTATAATACATACTGAAATAAGAGATCAATGCGTTTATCTCTTGCATACAAATATATATACACACATACCTATGCATGCATTAGAAAATGCATTAGATAATATGCTNGCATGTATATAGCCGATGCACATGCAAGCAATAAAAATATAATTAGAAGACCAAGGCATTGGTTGGTAATCTTATGTAAATATACATACATACATGCACATGTACATATACACACACATACATATATAATTAGTTAAGGAAGTAGAGTTAGAAAATTATATATAAAAGAAAAATGTTGAATAAACTAATCAGATTCGTAAAGACTCTCAATAACACGCTTCTTTTCTTTCTTTTATATTTTATGCTTTACTTCCCCCCACCAGAGGTAAGGGGTAAAGCATCTAACTATCTGTCTTCTTCTTTCTTTATTAAGGTTTTACTTCCCCCCACCAGCGGGAAGGGGTAAAATTATTAATATTGAAAGTACTAACCTCTTATTTTATTAAACTCTACTTCCCCCCACCAGTGGTAAGGGGTAGAGAATTTTAAAATAAGAGTATTTGTAGTTCGCGCATTGCTGAACGTTACTTGTTACCCCCCACCCGAGGTAAGGAACAAGTGACTCAGCTCTGCTACGAACATACATACATGTACATAAAAACCAACAAGCATTGATATTTACACGCAAGGGGAATTTAACTAAATAGTATATGAAAAATTTAAAAGGTTGTGAATAGCAATGAAATAATTTAATATGTCTTTCGAATTGTAACATTTTTCTCTTTGAAGGTAAAATATGTTTTGTCGACATATGCTACTTGGTTTGTCCGTGCAAGACAGACTTAAGTGGTTCTGTCAAATGTCCACAGATATATTGTCTTGAATTCGCCTCGCACTGTATCAAGGCGTATTCATACAAGGTGGTAGCAGGAGTACAAAAAACATATGTAGTTTCCCGAATCTATAGTCTGTTGTTTTCGCAGAAAATATATGAAATGTTGCCAAATATGCAAAAATATCCACGTTAGTCGAGTATATGCAAAAACAAAAAAAAAAAAATCAAAAAATATGCAAAATAACCCTTTTCAAGCATTTGAATATTTTTTCCCGCCCTGGTAATTATGTATGTATAATGCAAAGGCTGGAAATGCGATGAGAACCCTGATAACCTGGTATGGAGTTCTACTCTAATTGCTTCTAGGTTTTAAAATTGTGTAATTGTTTCCATTGAATGTGAAATCGTTTCGTTCTGATAGTTTTTGCTGGGTGATCACCCTTTTGATACGTGTTAGACTAGCCGCGAAAAGCAAAACTTGATTTGTTGGACTCGTAGTGGGATAGCCATTTGAGGGGCCCAACAAAAGTTATAGGGCAATTCATCGAAACGCGATACGCCTCGTAACTATGTACACCTGGTAACTAACTTAATTTTGTATGGAACACCGGTTTAGTTATTTATGAGGTTTACGGGGTAACGAGGCATTTATGCGTTTACCAGAGGGTGGCGAAAATGGTTTTACTTTTACACTATTGCACATTTCAATAAATGCGGTTATAAACAGTGTTGCCAGTTGAGAATGGTTTTAGGTACTAAAACGCCTACCAAATTAGTTTCAAAACTACCAAACATTTTTTCATCATTTAAGCGAGATTTCTTGAATTTACG